GAGTTCGGTTCCCGGTACCGGAGAAAAACCAAAAAAAAAAAAAAAAAAAAGATTGAAGTCAACAATTTGACCTTGTTCTCTCATACTCTGCTAGGGCTGGGGATGTAGCCCAGCAGTTGGGCATTTACCTAGCATATGTGAGGCTCTGGGTTTGATCCCCCGTGCCACTAAAAAAAATTTTCTTTTTATTTTCCCTATATCTGTATAACATTTCTAGCGGTCACGCTTCTTACCTATTGCATCTCTTCTGTCTAGCATCAGACTCCTGGTTTTAGCACCTCCGTGGTGCTTTTTAATAGCCAGTTCCATGGTTCTTTTTGCTTTACTATCTACGATACCTGTTTGTTTGTTTTAGTCTTTAAGATATTAGTTACTTTCCCCTAACAAGATGCCTTTTGTGCATTGAGTTGATATATTTCTCTTTTTAGATATTCCCAGTGTGATAAAATTCATGTTTCCCCATAGGATATTGCTGAAGATGAATGTGAGCCATTTTCACTGAGCAGAGATACATCATTAGTATTTAAAGCTCATTTTCCTGCTTTAGATTTTGGGAGCTTTTTATCGTAAATTATCCTATAAGGACTACAGAAAAATGAGAGCAAGAACTGCCCTTTGTTTCACTCCTTTTGAAAGAATCCAGTCCCCACTTGTCCTGTAGAGTGGTTCTACAAAATATGTACTGAACAAAGAGAATGTGCGTGTCATTCCAGGCCCTATTGCTCAAAGTTGGGAGTGGAAGAGAGATGGATACACAGATACGGTAGCAAGATACGCCCTTCTTCCTGAGTAGATGTAGCTGAGGGGAATGTGGGTGTTCAGTACCAACTTCTAGATCACTGGCACAGGCTGTTTTCAGCCAGTGGGAGCTGTTGAGAGATGGCAGGAGTAAACCAAAGCCAGTGGATGCCATGTGCTCAGGCTGGAGATAAGTGTTTAGCTCAGGGAGGTTTGGAGCCTGAGACCTCCAAGAGCTCTGCTGACAACATGGAAAGCCAAGCAAAGGAGGGAAGGGTGCTGGGAGGTATAGAGCATCATCCTGGTGCACCTGCATCTGTCTTTAGGGTCCTTTGCAGATTCTGACACCAGTGGTTACTTCTTGTGATATCTTGGAAACAATCATATTGAATAAGGCAGATTTACTCCAGTGTATGTTTAATACCACTTTAGCCAGTAGAGATCAACACATTCTTTGTATTTGCATTATCTGTATAACCACATGGTTTCTAAAGGAAGTGTTTCATATTTAGAAAAAAATTGCTGTATTTTATAATTCTGCACCATGTCCTTCATTATGAACTGGTGCCTTAGTTAGGCACTCTGAGGCTTCCTTCAAAGATTGAGTGCTCTGTGATGTTTCTAGGAGAAATCCTGATTCCCAGTGTGCCCTCCTCTAGCTTAGATTTTTTCCCTGTCTAAATGAATATGAGTATTCCGTACTTTTCAGTACTGATAAAAATCTACAAACTCCTACAGGATCCTCTTCACTTAGAAGAGATTTCAAGGGTGACCATGTCTACCTCTGAAAAATCATGTGCAGATACAGCTCCTGAGTTCACTAACCCAGCATCATTTCTTAGTGTCAGTTAGTGGGTCACAGTAGGGCAGTTGCAATAGGCTCAGGTCAGAGAGCACTAAAAGCTCATTCGTTGTGTCATCCATTATTAATCGTGTGCCCCGGTAAAGGAAAGAACCTTTTACTGGGTCCTTTTCATTACATCTGCTGTACGTAAGGAATTCTTTTTGACTATGTTTTATGCTTGTTTTTCCTGACTTTTCTCCTTCTGGCTCCCATTAGTGAGTGAGGCCTTCTCCCATCTTTGAGACATTTGTTTGCATACTGTATGGGTCTCCCCAGTGTGGGTGGAGCAGGTTCCACAGAGCACACAGGCTCCTCCCCAGGGAGGCTTCAGAAGGATGGGAAAAGTGGCGCCCCACCCACCTATGGGCCCAGTGCATAGACACGTGGAACTGTGTTGGATTTGGCTGACTTGAGGTCTAGAAGATTCACTAATTCACTAGCCCCAAAGTTCCTGCCCATTCTGTGCCACCCATAGCCTGGCTGTAGCTACACAAGTTGCAAGAACCG